GTTTTGATTTGCATTTCTCTGACTGCTAGAGATGGTGAGCATTTTTTCATGTACTTGTTGACTGATTGTATGTCCTCATCTGAGAAGTGTCTGTTCAGGTCCTTGGCCCATTTGTTGATTGGGTTATTTGTTATCCTATTGTCATTCCATAGGATATTATTTAGTCTCCAAGTGTTAGAGTAGCTTCTATTTTTTATCATTGATTTCTAATTTCATTCCATTATGATTTGAAAAAATACAAGATATTATCTCTATTTTTTGTATTTTTAAGAGTTGCTTTGTTAAGATATGTTCTATTTTAGAGAAGGATATGTATGCTGTTGAAAAGAAAGTGTATTCAGTCTTTGATGGATGAAATATTTTATATATGTCTGTAAAGTCTAAATTATTGATTCTATTTTTAGTTTGATAGCTTCTTTATTTTTTTTTTTATTTTTGGTGGTGGGAGGGGAGTGGGATCTATCCAGTGGTAAGAGAAGTGCGTTAAAGTCACTCAGTATATTGTGTTGAGGGCTACTTGATTCTTGAAATTGAAAAGGGTTTGTTTGTTTGATGTATGTAGATGATCCATTATTTAGGGCATAAATATTATTGTTTTGGTTTTAGACACTTTCTACTTGTAATCTTAATAATTCAAGATCCATCAACATAGGTATTGTTCACATTTGGTAATGACCTTGTGGCTCATTGATTTTGAACTTGTTTAAATTAAGTTAGAATTTGAGTTTGAAAGGTTTTCTTGTTTTATATTGGAGGTGTTTAAAAACTCAATTTAAAAGTAAATGTAAAAAAAGTAAATGTATTTTTAAATTATGGAAAAATATACATAACACAATATTTACCATCTTATAATATATATATATATATATATATATATATATATATATATATAATTCAACAGCATTAAGTACATTCTCATTGTTCAGCTATTGCTACCATCCATCTCCAGAAATCATTTGATATTCCCAAACAGAAACTTAGTATCCATTAAATACCAAATGGTCATTTCCTCTTACCCCAATAATGAATCTGCTGAAAAAGAAATTAGAAAAACTATCCCATTCACAATAAACTTAAAAAAGAATACTTAAGAACAAATCTAACCAAATTGGTGAAAGATCTTTACAATGAAAACTACAGAATACTAAAGAAAGAAATTGAAGGTCTTGAAAGAAATACCTTCCATGGTCTTGGATAGGCAGAGTTAATATTGTCAAAATGGCCATACTACCAAAAAGTATTCAAATTCAAGGCAACTCCCATGAAGATACCTATGACATACATTGCTGTTGGGACTGCAAATTGGTGCAACCACTCTGCAAAGCAGTACGGAGATTCCTCAGAAAACATGGAATGGAACCACCATTTGACCATTTATCCTACTCCTTGGTATAAACCCAAAGGACTTAAAGTCAACATACTATTGTGACATGGTCACATCAATATTTATAGCAGCTGAATTCACAGTAGCTAAGCTATGGAACCAACCTAGGTGCCCTTCAACAGATGAATGAATGAAGAAAATATAGTATATATACACAATGGAATATTACTCAGCTGTAAAGAAGACTGAAATTATAGCATTTGCCAGTAAATGGGTGGAACTAGAGACTATTATTCTTTGTGAAATAAGCCAGTCTCCAAAACCCAAAGGCTGAACATTCTCTCTGATGTGTGTTTGCTAACACACAATGTGGGGTAAGGGGAGGAAAGAATAAAAGTTCATTGGATTAGACAAAGGGGAATGAAGATAAGTGTGGGGAACAGTAATGGAAAAGACAGTAGAATGAGTTAGACATAATTTCCCTATCTTTACCTATGAATATACAATCCCTGTAATACCACTACATGTACAACCACCAGAATGGTAAGTTATATTCCATGTATGTATAATTTGTCCAGATATACTCTACTGACATGTGTATCTAAAAAGTACAATTTAAAAAAAAAAATTTAAATAAAGTATCTAACACATTTGATAATTCATGGAAGCTTATTTATAATTGTTTTATTCATCTCCTAAATTATGATTGTCCTTCATCCTCTGTTATAATTCTATTTTCTCCTACTAATTTTGGCTGTCATGCTTAAAAAAATCTCTAATTCTTCATTCTTCAGGAATATTTAATTAGTCTTACTCTTCTTCTCCAGGTGCATATTCTTGAAGTTGCATTTTAGCATTTATTACCTTTTATGCTATTATTCACTTTAAGGAAGAATTTGAAAGCAGAAAACAGGAACAAACAGTATTGAACACAAAAATAAACAAAGAAGAAAATACAGGAAAGTTTAGGACATGAAAGTATGATTGTACATAATGTGGTTGATACAGAAATTATTGGTTTTAGGGAAAGTACATGCAATGCTTGAAAAACAAGAGTAAAGAGCAATATAGTTGGTGATCATTTAATACAATGGATTTAATTTCTATTAATGTGCAACATTGTTAGTTATTTAGATCAACCTCCAATTTTCTATGTAAAATAGTTAAGACTCAGTATACATCAAGACATGACCTCAAAAACCCCTGGGCCACTGGGATTAGAAAGGCATTGGATTTCAATTAGTCATAAAGATATTTATTGATCCAGAATCACAATATATTTATTTACCCATCTCTCTAAGAACATGACACATTCTTGCTTTTAAGTTACTATGTTATGCAACTCCGAGCTTATCTTCAGGATAGAGAAAATTGTTGTTAAGGTGTTTATACTTTGAGAATTTTTTAATCTAAATGAATGTCTAAACTATTCATTTTTAATTATTAAGAAGTTTTGTTTCTGAGAATTATCTGTTTAGTTTTTTGCCCATTTATTGATTGGGTCATATTTTGGAGTTTTAAGTGTTGGGAATTCTATTTATATCATGTATATTAAAGCGTTATATGGCAAAGATTTTCTCCCCTGCTGTTGACTCTCTCTTCATAATCTATAAACAATTGCAATTTTTTTCATGGTTCTTGATACAGGAACCCAAGTCAAAAGCATCAGAAAGTTTAATGTTTGGTAAGGACCAAATCCCAGCTTCCAATAGGGTTCCTTATTGGTGCCTTCATTGAAAGAGAATAGAACTGTAACTACACGTGACGGTAAGCACAAGGGCAATAGGGCCCAATTTTGTATCATCCTTCTTTGTAAGGGCCTTGATCCTATTTACAAAGGATACCGCATGATTGTCACCCCTTATTAGATCCCTGTCATAATAAAATTATGCTGATGTTACATTTCAATGCATAAACTTTAGAAGATACACATTTCAAAAACAGCAGGATTGGAGTCATAGAACTGTTTTAGTACTTTCAACTTTTAATGATAAAGTTTGAACATCATAAGCATCCAAATTTTCAACCAATAAAATATTCATATTGTGCATTAAATAATCAGTTGCTTTCAATTTCAGGAAAAAACAAGAAGTGATTTTTCTTAAACTGTTTCTTGGATAATTTTAAAAGACATTTCTGGCTCTTTCAATTTATGCACACAATTGTTTCTAGCATGAGGTCTTTATTATAACTTCCTATTCTCTTACTCATTCAAAAGATTCATTAAATTTGAAGGAACATTAAAAAACTGATACCAGAATCTTTAACTCTTCATTCTACTCACTTTAATTTTAATAAACTAATGATAAATTCTGTGATTTAAAATACTCTACACTTATTAATATAATGCATTTTAAAAGATGCAATAGCATTTTCATAAATTGAGATTGACAAACTTGTAAGATTCAAGATTCTTTCAAAGCATAAGTACTTCACATAGAATGCAGTGTAGATAGGCTTTCCACTGAGACTCAGACAAAACATGCTGAAAATGAGAAAATTTCTCAGGTGTTACTGACAGAAGCCTTTTGAGGAATGTTTACCACAATATTTTTTAAATGATTAAATTGAACTTGTGAATGTGTATTTTATATTGATAATTTTTAAATTTTCTTATTTGTTTTAACTAGTTATACATGACAGTAGGATGCATTTATGCACTTTGATATATCATACATATATGGGAAATAATTTCTAATTTTTCTGAGAGTACACGTTGCAGAATCATACTGGTAATATTTTTAAACTACTTAAAACTGTTATTATTTCAATATGCAGGAGTCAAAATTGACCTATTTTAATATTTTTTTCCAAAAATGGAGCATCCATACTGGTGAGTGTTACATGAACATGTCCTTGCCTAATATGATTAGAAATGTAATAAGTATGACATGTATTCCAAGATGAATACAATGAGATTAGTGAGACAAGAATGAGTTGTTAGAGCAATTCACATAAACTTGCTTAATTGTTAAATAATCTTATTTATATCTATGAACTATGACTTAGAACTAAAAACACTTCTTACCAGCTTGCACAATGCCCCCTTCACATCCTTATTCCTCAAGGTGTAGATAAAGGGGTTGAGTGTAGGAGTCACCATTCCATAGAAGAGAGCCATGAACTTTGGCTGATCTCTTGAGATGGAAGAGGGGGGCTGAAGGTACATGCTAATGGCTGGGCCATAAAACAAGAAAACCACAATAAGATGAGAAGAACATGTCCCAAAGGCCTTTTTTCTTCCTTCAGAAGACTTGATCTTAAATACAGAACGCCCAATGCTAGCATAGGAAGCAAGAATTAAACACAGAGGAACAGCTAACATAAAAATGCATACCACAGAGAGTATGAGCTCATTAGCTTCCTTTTCACCACAGGCCGTCTTTATCAGAACTGGAATCTCACATAATAAGTGATCCAGTTTATTAATGCCACACAGTGGCAACTGCAGTGTAAGAGTGGCTTCTAAGAAAGCATAGGCCATTCCACCCAGCCACACAATGGATACTAGTAAGATGCATATGCGCTGATTCATGATGAGGGTGTAGTGCAGAGGTCTGCAGATGGCCACGTAGCGATCAAAAGACATAATGGCCAAGAGCAGACATTCTGTGCCCCCCATTATGCTAAAGAAATAAAGCTGAACTATACACCCAATATAGCTGATTGTTTTCTTAGAGCTACCCAAATTAAACAGCATCTGAGGGACAAAGCTTGTTGTGTAACACATGTCTAAAAAGGAGAGGTTAGTGAGGAAGAAATACATGGGGCTGTGGAGATGGGGGTCTAACTTGGATACCACTATGATGATGATGTTTCCCATCATAGCCATGGGGTATGTTATCAGAAGAATTACAAATAAAGGAAGCTGTAGCCAAGGATGGTTTGCAAAGCCTAGTAGAATGAATTCATCAGGGTGGCTTTCATTAATTAGTATCATTATCTTCAACTTTTTCACATATAGGAGGATAGTAACAAAGTAGGGGCAATTAAAAAGAATGATAAAACAATTATGCATTGACTACTTGATCATAGAAGACAAAGTACCACAAGTTATGGGAGAAATAATATAAAGGGTCAAGCACCAGGTGAATATCATTTATCTTTATGACACCATAAATTAAAGAAATGTCGACCAGCAAGCCAACCATTCTGTGAGTGAATTTCCTCCTCTGTATTTTAAGGCTAACAGTAATTATCTCCTAGAGTTCTAATGAGGAGTAAATGAAAAATAGAAGTGACTGTTTTGGAAACTCTAAAATTATGGCTTTCAAACTGTCTTGCATAAAAATCAGCTGAGGAGGTTGTTAAAAATGAAAGTTTTTTTGAATTTTATCTTCAATAGTTGTTAGATGCAAGAAGCCAACGTGCCAAATGGTTCATTTTCAAAAGCATTGGTAAAAGGCATTACTGAAATATTAAGAGCTGAAGGGTTGAGTCAGCAATAGAAGGGAGAGAGAAACCTGATGCTATTAAAGTCATTAATAGTCCAGCCCAATTGTCAGTGAAATAATTAATCATCTACATTGAGAATAAGAAGACTGTAGTATTTAACAAGCTGTTAGGTATATGTAATTGAGCAGAAAGTATAGATGCTTTTGTTGTGATATTATTGCTGTTGAAATGGAGTCTATGTTGCCCAGGCTGGTCTTGAAATTGTGTGCTCAAGTGATGTTCCCACTTCAGCCTCCCAAGTATCCAGGACTACAGCTCCATATCACCATGACTGGTTTAACTATTTTTAATATCAGTGTTCTGAATTATTAAATGAGGGAATTGAGCTACAATCACATTTCCCCTCAAACTCAAGAATTTTGCTTTTGTGAAATTTTCTCTTGCATAACTACCTAGATCAAACTTAGGTAAATTGATCTTTTAATGCTAAATTATTTAATTTTTCATTTTGTAGGTTGGTTGGTACCGTTTTTATGATTTTAAACAATTGTCAGTGACCTATCGACTATATAGCTACAAATACATTTTTTAACTCCAAGTAACTACTGTCAAGAAAGTTGTCAATATCCCAATTCAGACCTCTGAATTGAATGTCTGCAGACTTGTTCAAATCCACAAGTTATTTTACATTTTTAGTACATACATACATTGTTTTTCACTGAAAGATACATTTAATGCAACAAAATCCACAAATTTAAAAAGCAGGATTTTGAGAAAGATTAATTAAGTAATGCAAGTTTTTTAATATAGTTTCTTTCTTTTAGTGGTGAAGTGTGCTTTATGAAATCCACAATCTTCTTTGAGATGGAGGAGATTCAGGAAAGAAGTAAAGATAGTATCCCAGTGACACAATTGTAAGTTACTCCTGAGTCAATCAGTAGTTAAAGCTCCCAGATTGCATTCTCAAGGTTACAAATCAGTTGTAATATTCTCTGTCATGAAATCCTTAAGGCCAACCTGTGAAGTATTACAGAAAGCTATTCAGAGATAAGAAGTGGATGTTGTCCTTTGTTTTCCTCATCTAGAAGTGTGTGATTTCAATAAAATACTTTCAATTAATCTTTAATGAGCCTTCTGTGCCAAGCACTCCAATAAACTTATGCCGTTAAATCATTTAGTACCTACCCCCAACCTTATGGCATTAGAAAAATTGTATATGTATATCTTAAGATGTTATTAATCATTCATTTCAGAAGTCTGCTAATGACTGGAGAGGTTCTAAAGACCAAAATGCCATCAGTGCCTTAAATGAGAAAGTGATATATCAAGTCTACATGCTTACAGTTTCAAGATTATGTGAAAACATCTATATTCTTTTGATGTTTCCTAAAGTTTCAAGATTATGTGAAAACATCTGTACTCTTTTGATGTTTCCTGAGTAAGTGTGGCTTCTGCACTTTATTTGAGCTTGACATCATTCAAAATGTTATATGAGCATGAGGACTTTAGAAATACTTGAAAAAAAAGATTTTAAGTTAAGAAATATATCATAAACTTCCACATTGTACATGAGATATTTAAAGAGCATTGTATAAACCAATTAATTCTTAAATATTCTAAAATTTGGATTATACTCACATTAACAATTGCATTATAAAATACCAGCCTACTCATTTAACATTGTTATATTCACCTTTGATCTTTTTCTTTTGTAGACCATAATTAAATTTTTAAAGAGTGGGGCTGGGGTGGTGGCTCAGTGGTAGAGTGCTTGCCTAGCATGCTTGAGGCACTGCATTCGATCTTCAGACCCACATAAAAATAAACTAATGTATCCATCTAAAACTAAAGATATATAAATAAATAAATATTTTTTAAAAATTTTTAAACAGTAATGTTAGGTTTGATCTTCCATGATATGTTCCATAATTATCTCTCTCCAATAATGGTATGCATTCTAATATGCTTATAGCAATTTTGTCAAATTTGTATTATTTGATATTTTCTTCATATTATTTGCCTTAGTCTCATTTTGTTTGTGAATTCCAATCACCCCTGTAAAAGACAAAATTACACCAAATTTAGTTATATATCTAATTGGTTTTTATTTGCAATTCATGAACTAGGGCAGCTTCCATTCCTATCAAGCAGTACCATGAGTTTGACAAAGTAGAAACAAGAAAACCAAACCAAAAAACATCATCAATTAACATCTGGGACTGCAGGGGTTTTTGTTTTTTTGGTTTTTTTTTTTTTTTTTTGAAAAGGTTAAAGCAGAGGTGACTTCTTTTTTATGTTGCCTCATGTGAACAGGAATATCCTGTTTTTAGGGGTAAGGTATCTGTGTTGTTTTCTTAGAGCTTCAGTTTGATGGTGTGGCATCTAGCATGAGTAACTGCACTTTGGTTTAATCCTGTCTGTTGAATCCTACTGCAGGAGCTTAGTTCAAAATACTGGATAGTTCCCTATAGATATAAGCTGTCATTCTGTTTGTTATTTAATGTTATTAATCAATCAATGTTATTTAATCCAAAGTATATTTAAGCTCTAAAATTCTTTCACTCTCTTATCTTTTACATGTCATTCTTATGATATTTCAATAGTTTTAGCTCTTGGATTCCATTGACTCTTGAATGTTCTACTTCCAGTGAATTTTTTTGCCACTATTTCACTCTACAGGGATCTATTTACCCACAAATTAAAAAGTGCCAAATGTCATCCTTAGAGTCACAACTCATGTTTTTATTCTAGTTTTTTTTCTTATATAATTTTTATCACATTTTATTTAAATTTGTAGAACTTTTTAGCTTTCTATATTAATTTCATAAAGAAATTATTTTTGATACAAAAATACTAAGGTGAAACACACAAATCAAATCCAAGACATTTTAACCATGGGTTAAAAAATGTTTCATGTGACACATTCACTTGATTGAATGAAGGCTTCATACTTCATTCAGGTATTTAACATCTGTCAGTTGCTTAAGTGAAATTTAAATGCCTCTGAGTTTGGTCTATATGACAGACAGATTACAAAGAGAAATTTATTTGTTATCTGGATTACTGAACTATGTATTTCTACAGAGTTGATAACAGAGTTAGAAAAACTCTGAAATGATGTGCTCTCTTTCTATATATATTACTCACAACAATCTATATATATTCCAAACGTCTCTGAGAACACATGACTTTTTTTAAGATGTTTGTTTACTTACCTCATGTTGATAAATATTTAGCAGAAGCAAATCATTAGAATTTTTTAAGTTTTCAGAAAAAATGGAAAAACTAATACACAAATGAGTATTTAAAAGTTTTAAATTTTAGTTTTTCAGTCAATACAAGAATTAGAAAAAAATATGGATTATGGAAGCAATAATGGGAAATATCAAGCATGCTTTATAGGCATGCTATATGTATGCTATTCCTGAGACCTCTTGGGCTTTGTTTACACAGACCATTCATTTATCTTTCTCCCAGAAGAGTTAGCACAGAACGTTCCTTGGGACAGAATTCTTTATGGATTCCATATACAATTATTCACCTACAAAACTAAGCTTGGTGGCAATTTTATATGTGTTCTAAAATAAAATTAGTCTACAATATGTGGGCAATTTGAGTTTAAGTATCATAGAGTTGTCCCTTGATATTCATGGAGAATTATTTCCAGGACTCCTAAAGAATAGCAAAATCTGTATTATCAAGCTTCTTATTTTTTAAAAAAATGACATAACATTTGCACATAAGTATATCTTCACATACTTTAAATCATCTCTAGACTGTTGATACTATCTAATATTATGTCAATGTTATGTAAGTTGTTGTATTGTTTAGAAAATTTTAAAAATCTGTATATCCAATTTCACTGAATAATCATTGAAAAGTTTTTGCCAAAATTTTTTGGCAAAAAAAAATTAAGGTGCAACCATTATGTGAAACTTTTTTTAATTGTGCCAGTATTATTTTTAAATTTCTACTAAAAAAATTTGCTACAAAACTGTCTTTTTTGTTAGAGCATTACAGTCATACATAGTAGTTGGATTCATTTTGACAAAGTCATGCATGCAAGGAATTTTATTTTAATCCCCATTCCTCCCTTTTTCTTTCATCATCCCTCCCCTTATTCTTCTTCCTCTACTGAATTTTATTTAACTTTTACTTATTTTTGATTGGTGCTTTCTACATATAAGGGTGCAATTCCCTTTGGTACATTCATATATGCATATTACATGATTTTTCCAAATTTGTTTCATATTTCCTCCCCTTTCCTATCCTTCCTCCTACTCTACTGATCTTCCTTATTTTTTGTTTTTTTCTTAAATAGCTTTTATTTTTTAAAAGTTAGTGTGTGCATTATGGGAAAAATAAAAACACAAGCAAAGAACAAGGTCATTCAGGCACAGCAGGCTTAGTTGGACATTCTTCCAGGTCATGCATAATACCTATACAACATGCCATTTTGTTTGAGATCATAGCGTGTATCATGCTTTTCCACACCATGAATATTTACCATTTCAAAATCCTAAAAATACATGAATATTTTTGATA